CCCCCACCCCCCACACCTTACCTCTTCCCTGAATGGCTAGGTTACTGCCTCCTCCTCGCCCTGGGGGGAACAGCACCTGCATTTCAGGAAGGAGTGACTGGTGTGTAAGGAAAGTCTAGATGAGAGTAGGTCTGATGTTAGTGGGGGTCACCAACAATTTTCCTTCCTGTAGTTCAGTCAGTGTATCTGAAGAAACTGGGTTTTTTTGTTTGTTTGTTTTTTGAGGACTGAGTGGACAGTGGTTAGGAATAGAGGATAGGAGATGTGACTCTCACCCCCCACCATCCCATTACCTACATCTTCATTCGAACTCAGGGTTTATGTAGTAGCGTGGATTTCTTTCCCCTCCATTTGTGTGTGTATGTGTGTGCATGTACACACGCACTGACCTTACTGTATGGAATGACTGCTGCAATCCTGCTGTTTTAAATTCTGTTTTCTCTTATCCTCCCTATTTGTATATTTATTGGCGGGTGATGAGATTGGGCGGACATTCAGTGTGCCTGAATACAGTCACTCCTTCATTCAGTAAATAATTTTTGACCACCTATCATATTCCGGGCACTAGGGATATAGAGGTGAAGAGGAGAGACAAGGTTCCTCACGAGTTTCTATTCAAGTCAGAGAGACAGAGAGTAGATACATGAACAATTAATAAGACAATGTCAGTTAGGGATAAATGCTAGAAAGAAAATGAAAATGGGATGGAGCAGAAAGGCAGGAAAGGATAAGGAAGCTGTCATTACTTGAGCTAGGAAGGTCAGGAAATGCTTCTCTGAGGTGATACGTGGGTTTCCATCTCAGTGATAAAACTGCATGGTGAATTTTACTGGGCCAGAATTTTTAAATATTGACAGATTAAAAACAAATTACTGTATATTTAACATATAATTGTAAATACCAAATAAGACAGAAGAGTATAGTGTTAGGAGAGTGGGTTTAGATCTGAGTTTTAAGTTATTCTGCCACTAACCAGCTAAGAGGCCTAGGGCAAGTTGCTTAACTTCTCAAAGCTTAGTGCCTCATCTACAAAAATGGGCATAGTAACTACCTCAGACATCAACAAATAGTTTACTCTGTTATAGTTACTGTGTAGGTGTAGGCAGTACCTTGGAGTCATGTATTCAGTATCTTTATTCTTTGTTAGACATTAAGCTCTATGTGGTTATTCTTATTACCGTTGCTGCATAATAAACCACCCCAAAAGTTAGTGGCATAAACAAAATTATTTTATAATGCACATGGTTCTGTGGGTCAGGAATTCAAAGAAGGCACAGTGGGAAAGTTGTATTACTGCTTCCATGATGTTTGGGGCTTCAGCTGAACTGGTTATTTCTCCATGTGGTCTGTCTTCATGGGCTAGTATGGGCTTCCTCACAAAAAGAGCTGGATTCCAAGAGTGAGCGCACTAAAAAGACATGGTGGAAATGCATAGCATTTTTATCATCTAGCATTACAAGTCACATAGCACCACTTCCTCCAAACTCTGTGTGGGCATGTTCAAGGAGAAGGGACATTAACTGCTGCCCTGCTGCTCCCAATGCAAGAATGTTATGTCACTTTGTAAGAAGAGCTTGTGGAATGGGAGGTATTATTGCAACCATCTTTGAGAAGTATAGTCTGCCCCAGGAAGCCAGGACCATTGTTGTCTTATTCATGCTTATTTGTTGAAAGAATGGTACACATGATCATTGTGATCCCTGCCATTTTTTAGCTTATAGTCTGAAGACTGTAAGACAAGTAAGCAGACAATTACATGACACTGTGATATGTACTGTGAGCAGGGAAACCAGGTCACTAGGAGCACATATAACAGCAACTTGAGGCAGGTGACTGTGCTGTGATGATTAAATGAAAAAAAAAAAAAAAAAGGTACTTAATATTGTGTTACGAATTTAGAAAGTATTAGTTAATGTTTATTATTATGTCCTCCCAAAGAATAATTGTTCCTGAAAGGAATTAATATTTTAAAATTTCATTTTTTATATCTTGTGGGTATGGATTCTTGGGAAATAGATTATAGACCACCCACTGCACCTCCCAAAAAAGTTCTACCTAGAGCAGTGGTCCTTGAAAATCTTGATGAGTAAGATTTCTTTCCAGATGTGTAAGTAGCTTTGGCTTTTTCCAGAAAATGGCCTTGTGGTTTGCAGAGAGGAGAGACTGAATGACTCTCCCATTTTCATTAAGAAGTACAGTTGTGTGGTGTGAGCACTGGATAGGAATCAGGAGGCCTGGATTTTAGTCCTGGTCAGACCATGCAGCCAGCTGTGATCTTCCCTGGAGCCCATTTATTAAGTGAGAGATTAAACTAGAAATTATTCCTAAGAGTTCTTCCAGCTCTAACATTCTAGAATTCTAAAATAATTTTGTTATTCTCCATGTGCTAAAAATTTGGAATATATTACCTATGGGAAGAAGTATAATGACTAACTTTTACTGTATATTTTGTATATTCCAGGCATTGTTCTGTGCATTTTTCACATATTGGCTGGTTTAATCCTCATAATAACCTGAGATAGATAATAATATTATCATCCTCATTTCACAGATAATGTAAAATAGGGCACAGGAGTCACACAGCTAGTAAGTGGGCTAGCTGGGCCACAAATCCCAGAGCCAGTGCTCTTAACCAATAAGTATACCACTCCTGCCTCTGAGTGCAGAAACTCCTTTGAAGACTTTAAAGGAGAAAAGAGAAAGCTGTCAGTGGAGGCGATTCATGTGTTCTCCTGCCTGAAACAGAAATGGATGATTGTCAAGTCTCCGGAATAAAAATTTGGCACTGGCACATGGAATGTTTACCTTCCACACCATGTATGTCCTATTCACATTCACAACAACCCTATGGAATAGATATTTTTGTTAGCTATATTTTGCATTTGTGAAAACAGTAAGTGGCTAAACTAGGATTCCAACCCAGGTGTTAAATTAAAACTCTTCCTCAAAGTCTGACTGCAGACAGATTTTTTTAACTACTATGTTATTCTACCTCTCAGGTACAGTGTTCCCGTTTTAGAGGCTTGGCCGCTAGCTCTGACACTTGACCTTTTCTTTTGTAAGCTGGGAGGAGAGTGGATAATACTTTTCTGATGTCTTTAGTTTACACTCATGACTTACTCTTAGGGCAGCTAGGTAAGTGTTGGGTATGAGAAAAGCAGGTTAATTAGAAATCAGGAGACCTAAATTCTGGTTGTGGCTTCCTTTGTAGCCTTGGGTAGGCTCTGCCCTTTTGTAGGCCTTTGTAATATGAGAGAACTGGACTAATTGATCTCTAGGTTTGTGCTGTCCAATATGTAGCACTAGCCACATGTCACTCTTAAATTTTAAATTCATTAAAATTAAATACAATTAAAAATTTAGCTCCTCAGTTATAGTACATTTCAAGTACTCAATAGCCACCTATGGCTTGTGGTTACCATTTTGAATAGTGCAGATATGGAACATGTCCATTATTGCAGAGAATTCTGTTGAACAGCACTGCCTGCAGAGGGGCTCTCAGTAATAACCTCTTGTGACTCTAAGTTTTGTCAGCTAGCTTCTGAGTAGCCCAGTTGATGGAGAAATTTTATTTTATCTGATATTACTCTAGCTTCCCTGACTTTCTCTTGGCTGATATTTGCCTGGTATATATTTTTCAATCATTTTATTTTTGACTTATAAATCCTTCTGTTTTAGGTGCTCTTGTAAACATGTAGTTTGTTGTTGTTGTTGTTAACTAAAATCCGACCATTTCTGTCTTAAATCTAACTGGCAAGTTTAGTCCACTTATGTTTGTGGTGATTATCGACAGAGCTGGTCTTATTTATTTCATCCGGTTTCCATTGCTACTGTTTTTCCTATGTTTTTTTCTCTTTTTGTGCCCTCCCTTTGAGGGTTGAGTATTTACTTATCTTATTTTGTTTTATCTCCTTTATTGGTTTGGAAGTTGGCACCTAGTTCTTTTAGTGGTTACTCTCAAAGTTTTACTTGAATACCTAACAAAATCTAACGTTAATATTTTAACCTCTCAATGGTAAGAGGGCCCTAGAACATTTTAACTTCAGTCACTTACTCTTTACCTATAGCAGTTGTTGTCCAGTATTTTAGTTGTCTTTTTTTTTTTAACTCTTCAAATTGAGCATTAAGATTTTTTATACAGATAGTATTTAGGTTTATCTACATGTTGACCAGTTAATTTGCTCACTGTTCCTTGTATCTAAGCTTCATTCTGGAATCCCTTCCTGAAATGTG